GCACGTGGAAAAGAGGCAGGAGGAGGATGAGGACGGAAGGGGTATGGGGAGGGCGATGATGAGGAGGAGGTGGAGAAGGAGGAGGAGGAGGAGGAGGAGAAGGAGGGGGGGGGAAATAGAAGAAGAGGAAAAGATGGCAGAGGAGAGGGCGATACGAGGGTGTTTGCCATGGCCGGGAGGAAAGGGATAAGGGAAAGCTAAACAGATTATCATGTGGGGTCCTTCCGTCGGAGTAATTTACAGGTTAGGATGGGACCCCCCGGATGCGGCCCCTAATGGCCGGCCTGAAGGGGGGAGTAGGAGTATATTCTAATAAGGAATAAGGATAGGAGTCAAGCTAGCCAGCTCGAGCGAGTCAAGCATGGCATGCCCAGTCCCACCCGCCCTCCCACAACATAAGAAGCAAAACTGGCACAACTGGGGGCCGAAGTCACACCGGCCAGCCGGTTTGGTACAGCTGATGCGGCCGCGATGGCGGTTGCCGACGGGAACTGGCGAGCGCGTGATGAATGCCGCGCACGCATTGCCAGACGAGTCGAGAATGGCCTGGTGCACCGCAGGAAGCCAGAGGTGGCCGGAGGAAGCCCGACGGTCTGACAGGACACCCCACAGCATTTTTGTGAAAAAGCATTGGGTTTTTGATGTTTTTATGTTGAAATGCTTGCAAACACACGGTGTTCGGTAGGATTCTGACATGAACGCGCGAGTGTGCTCTTTGTTGTATTTTTTGCACAGGATTCGCGGCCTGGGTGCATGACAGAGCATCGCGAGTGCACCGCGCGATGACGTGAAATCGCTGGATTTGACAGAATTCTTAAGATTCCTATGGTTTTCCTATGATTTCAGCAAGAGAGCCCGGGCGGGAAATTTGTACAATTTTTGTGAAAAAAGCATTGGGTTTTTGATGTTTTTATGTTGAAATGCTTGCAAACACACGGTGTTCGGTAGGATTCTGACATGAACGCGCGCGTGTGCTCTTTGTGGTATTTTTTGCAATGGATTATCGCCGTGGACGACAGGACGTCCATGTCGAGAGGAAAAAATAAGAAAAATGTTGATTTTGTATTGTTTTTTACAGGTTAGGATGGGACCCCCGGATGCGGCCCCTAATGGCCGGCCTGAGGGGGGAGTAGGAGTATATTCTAATAAGGAATAAGGATAGGAGTAGGAGTAGGAGAGGAGGAGGAGGAGGAGGAGGAGGAGGAGGAGGAGGAGGAGGAGGAGGAGGAGGAGGAGGAGGAGGAGGAGGAGGAGGAGGAGGAGGAGGAGGAGCCGCCTCCCTCCCGCCAAACTCCAGGTCCGCAGCACTCGTGGGGCGCCTCCGCGAGTACAGCCCCCGTGCTGCCACAGATAGGGAAACGCCGAGCCAAGTGCGCAGGAAGGGGCTTCCTGTTCTGGCGACGGCGGGCCGCGGCCACGACGCAGGGGCTCCTCGACCCATACCCCCCAGGAAGCAGAAATCAAAGAAGGCTGCAATCGAAACAGCCAAAATGATCGCAGATAGGGTGGAATGGAAAATTGGGTGGGCCAGCGACAAAAACACGACGCGGCCCACTCCATTGATCAACGGCCCGAAGACCAGCCCCCCCCCCCCCGCTGACGCCAGGTCCGCAGGCACTCTCTGGGTGAATCTGCAGGTAGGGCAGACAAGAAACCTCCCACAAGAAGCCCAACCCTGAGACCCCAGGGCGTCCATCGATTTGTGGTGCGGGAGCGTCGCAACTTCCATCGCAAAAACCAGCGACGCCCAGGAAACCCAGGGCACCCTGGAGGCAAACAGGGCGTCTCCTGGCAGGGGCCTCCCCTGCAGGGCAGACATGGCGGCCCTGCTTGCTGGGCTCCTCTGATGCCGCTGTCCGCCCTACGCTGCCGTCGCTCGTCGTCGTCGCCGTCGCCGTCGCCGTCGCCGTCGCCGTCGCCGTCACCGTCGCCGTCTCCGTCGCCGTCGCCGTCGCCGTCGCCGTCGCCGTCGCCGTCGCCGTCGCCGTCGCCGTCGCCGCCTCCGCCGCCGCCGCCGTCGTCGTCGTCGTCGTCGTCGTCGTCGTCGTCGTCGTCGTCGTCGTCGTCGTCGTCGTCGTCGTCGTCGTCGTCGTCGTCGTCGTCTCGGCCCGCCGCGTGCGGTCTCCAAGGCCGCGATGTCGGGCTCGCTCCTCTGATGCCCGATGTCCGATTCCCCTCCCCCCCAACAGGCCTTCGTGGAAGCCTCCACCCCGCTTCTCCGAGGCGGCAGCTCCCGCCCCACCTTTGCGCATCCTTTCTGTTCGGAGCCCTTCTCCGACGCAGGCCCACGCCAGAGAGTCGACCGAAGGACGGTGGATGCTGGGTCAGGGTCCTTCCCCCCTCCGTTGGCCCATGGTACCGCCCGTGGAGGAGGATGAGGAGGAGGAGGAGGAGGGGGAGGTGGTGGTGGTGGTGGAGCCGTTGGGGGCCATGAGTCGATGACTTAACAGCACATCAAGCCCCTAGGACAGTGAGCTACTGCAACTGTGGGTATCGTCACCTCCGCTGCCCGCGGGAGCCGCGCCAGCTGTTGCTGGAAGCGGCCCCGCTCCAGCAGGGGCTCCCCCTTGCAGCCTCAAATCCTCCACCGATGCAAGCACTGCCTGGGGCCAGACCTCTCGCCCAGACCCCAAACTGAGCAAGCACTGATGGGGGAACCAAAACTGGGGAGCGAGCGAGCTAACCTCAGTGGGCCACGCTCGCTCGCTGCACTCTGCTGGCTCACTCACTCTGCAAGCCGAGAAAAAAATCACGATTTTTTTAAATCCTCCTCCCCCGCTGCGCGCGGCGCCGGCGCTCCCACTGGAAGTCGCAGCACTGCGCGTCGTTGTAGTAGAGCGGGGGGGGGAGGCGGGGGGAGGGAAGGGGCACTCTCTCGGGAAGGCAGGGGGGAGGGAGGGCAAGACACACGTGCACGTGCAAGATACTACTGCCTCGCACTGCCTCTCACCTCACTGGCACCATCCCCATCTGGATCTGGCACATAGCTATGCTCTACAACGCTGGGACTCTTCGTGTCGAAATTCTCAAGGAGCTGCGAGCTCATGTCCCTCTGGTGCTTAATATACTCGATCTGGGACGAGAGATTGCGCACCAGGATCACACGCTCCCGTTCATCCTCGGAGTCCTCAAACCTCAAGTTCCTGAGCACACTGAATTGTGCCTCGCTCGATCTGAGGCTTGCCGTCATGCGAGAGTATTCACCGATCATGATGGACTGGTGTTGCTTGATGCGCTGAGCTGCAGTGACGTGGGACATCTTGGCCGTCTGTATGTAGTCATCTGCCTCCGCTCCACGTGCAACTGTCGTAGGACGAGGCCTCGGAGCTGCTTTCGGGGTCGGAGCACGTGCAGAGGATCCACTGGCCATGGTGCTGGGCGTGCTGGTGCCTTGCTCTCTTCAGAAAGCTCGAGGAAAAGGCTAAGGACGACCTCCTAATACCCTCATGTGAATGGCAGCTCCCTCGAGTAGTCATATCTGTGTAGTAGATGAGGTGCGCACTAAAGATGTGGACCCCGTAAAAAATTATTTAGACCCAGACCCACTTCCCTGAACGCACTTGGCTGTGGTGCTGGCCATTCGGGCACGAACGAATTCTACTGCTTGCACTATGTGTCGCACGCGCTCAGATCCCCCATCAAGTAACCGATACAGATTGGTCAACTTCTGTGGGTCTCGTGCTAGTATCTCCGCTTGTGCAATCACTGCCTCTGTAAATTGCGGAGCTGCCTCTCGACTGCTCGCTCGAGCTCCGTGCGAGGTCCTGGCCCCACTGGCCTGGCCCCCCGATGCTTGGTCAGTACTAAGTTGAACGCTGCCTGCAGCGCGCGCATGTCGATCGTGGACGGGACTGTGGGGACCTCCTGGCCCTGCTTGGTGACGAGCTGGAGGGTCGTGCGAAGGTCTGGCTGCATGTTCATACTGTACTGTAATTTCACCTTCCGAGCTGCGTCCTCGACCCCATCTGGCTTGTAGGTCTCTTTCAGGCGGAACACTCGAAATATTTCGTTGGTGATTTGCATGCCGTGCTCGCTGCCCATGACCTGCATCAATTATCCTAGTACTTGCTTTGCTGGTCCTTCGTGCTGGTCTGCCTCGTTCAGGCTGCCGTGAGCGCTCTCTAAGAACCCTGCGGCGACGTGGGAGTGGGGGGGGCCCTGGTTGTGTCCTTTGCCGATCGAGCGCACGGTTTCGTGATACGCCAAGCCGGCTTCCAACCCCGCCTGCACAGGCGGCGCCAGGTAGGGCAGAATCCAGAACTCGAAAACTGTGTTCGACATCTCTCTCTGGTCGGCGGCTGTCTTCAGGGCCAGTTTCTGAAGTGAAACGACTGCTGATTGAAGCTCGGGGGCTGCGGCCACGTTGTGCTGCTTTGCTGACTCGGCTCCCCTGCCGCCTGCTCCCTTTGCTGCATGCCCTCCACCCGAAGCTGCTGCCGCCGAGGCCGCTGCCCCTCCCGACGCTGCTGCCTCCCCGCCCAGCGTCCTCTTCGCCCTCCAGCTCATCATGTTGCCTTGTGTGTAGTACACCTACAGGCCCTGGGTGACGGAGGGTAACGTGTGTCTGGAAGTCGTCGAAGTCTTTCGCTTGATACTCACAAATGCTGCATGACAGATCTGCTGGCTCGATCACAGGGTGTACCCATCTAGAATGATCCACGTGGCAAACTCCGTGCTGTGTCGCTGCTCGTACTACGTGGTCTGTCGCTATCTTACGTGTCGAGAAAGTAGACCTACACCACGGGCACTGGTTGCTTACAACTAGTTTGTGCAGTAGTGGTTCGAGACGATGGTATTCCCTCTTGTGTACTGCAAGTGCTGCGTGCGATCGAAAACGACACCCACATACCTCCTCCTCACCCGTCTCCTCGTTCAGTCCCCTGAAGTCGCACCAAAAGGGTTTCTCAACTTCCTCTGGCTCCCTCATGTCTTCTTCTGGCTCCTCTGGTCTGCTTTTTGCCCATTCTCTTGCTGCGCTATTCATGATGCTCGGGTCTGTCCTGATCCACATGCTGTATTCCTCTGTGCTGGGGTCGAACACGCTAATGTCGTTCGCGCGCGCGTGCCACCATGCATATATGTCAGGATCCGTGCTCGCAAGGTCATTCATGTCTGAGACGAACTGCTTTGCCCACGGTGTACTCTTGGCCCAGATACGCTTACCTGGTGCTAGTCTGGCTGCTCCCATTTCTGCGTCACTCTTCGAGGTGCCGAACACTGCTGCGATAACTGCTTCGTGATCCTGGGGGTAGAGGGCCCACCTGCGATAGGCATGCAGCCTTCTAACCTTCAGCGTGTCCGCTGTACGTTCAATGCGCCATTCCTTAAATACTGCATTCGTGCTACCTGCGCGCCTCCTCCCCTTCTCGTCCACCGTGCAGCGTTTACCTCTGGAAAGATATCTGAGCAGCTTGCACAACACAACATCAATCGCGTCCGTGTGTCTCTTGGGGATGATGAAACTACTTAAGCCACTAAGCGCAGCCCCCATTACAAACGCGATAAACATGCTCCTCTTAATACCCTTCGTAGTTTTAGATGACCAAAACGGTGAACATTGCCTCCATGCTGCCCTAGCTGCTGTAATACGCCTCTTGATCTCGCCTCCAATACCCTGGTCGCTCGGGATATATGGTCCAAGAACCCTCATTTCTCGCAAGGCCTCTCCGTTCAGCCCACTATCTTGTTTCCTCAGCGTTCTTGTACTATGATAAGAACGAGTACCTCTAAGTACTAGCAAGTGGTTGGTCTTTGTCGGGTTCAGAAGCCAGTTCCCTATCTGCAATGAGGTCCCCAATCTATGCGTAACCTGGTTCATCTGTTCTGCGATCTCCTCGGGTAAGGCACCTATAGGCAACATGGTAATCTTCGTGATGTCATCCATAAACGTGCTAATCGAAAGGTCTAGCATCTTCATACTTATAGGATGCAATGTATCATTAATGCACTGGCCCTCTTGTTCGCGCTCACCGTCCAGCCACTCCGAGACCACTGGGTTGTAGACGTCGTTAAAGTCTCGTGGAGCTAGAGTGAAGCCCATCTGGGCCCCCTGCTGGCTCATCATGTCAATGCTCATGTCTGAGGCCTGCAAGGTCAGCGCTGTGCGTTCGACTGCGCCAAGTGCATAAGGTACGTCGTGCTCCGCTGCCGTCTGCCACGCGTGCTCTCTAAGCAGCTCACGATCGGTAGAGGCAAACGCGTTCGTGCAATCGAAGTTGCTCATGATAAGGGAGCGGCCTGCTTTTTCACAACGCCATTTTGTGGCCAGTAGAACTAAGATGGCGTTGTCTCGAGATCTGTTCGCCAGTCCACCGTGGGCAAAATAGGGACGATTCTGTACTAGAGCGCGCTTGTGAATACCACTGTGCCATGACATGCCTACCCCACAATAAGCATGCATAATGCGCTTTCCAGCTATCCCCTTCTTGTGGTTCTGCTTTTCGCTCGAGAAGCTGTGTGCACGCAACGTGTTCAACGGCATGGCCTGGCACTGCCTGAAGTGGATCAGTAGTTGTCTAAGTTTCTTCGGGCTCGCAAACTCCTGCTCTGCAAACTTCGGGGCGCCAACTCCTGCTTTTTCTAAGTGCTCGAAGGTCCAATACGATGCTTCAAGTGGCTCTTGGGGGGGGGGTCCTTCTGCTCTCTGGCGTAGTCCGATGGTCTCCCCCTGGATCCAACCTAGGTTCTTCAAGAGTTGCCGCCCTTTCTTCATCAGGAAAGCCGTGGTGTGACGCTCTAGTTCCTCATCGTCCTCTTCTTTCTGTGCTTCACGTACTCTACGCTCCTCCCTCCACCTGGAACTGCTGTCGGGTCTGTCTAAATTCGCTGCCGGTTCCAACAATAGCCAGCCCATCTCAACAGGAAGCCCCCGCTCAGGATAAGCACGCCGCTTGCGCGCACGTCGGCAGCATCTGCGCATGGCGCGCGCGTCCTGATGTACATGCTCCATCAACTCAGCACTCATGGGGAGGAAGGGAAAGTCGCCGTCGCTAACCTCGAAGTCGGCTGTATAATCATTCACCGTGGACACCCAATCTAGGTTCTTACAGCCTAGTCCACCTAGGTGCGGATGTTTCGCCAGTTCTTCTCGCCATTGCTCACCCGACCAGTGGCATCGGTACGTGTGGTAGAATCTTTTTTTCGGGCCACGGCCGTTTCTATGGTAAGCTACTCGCAGGCGATGCATGTCGGCAAAGCGATTCTCCGAGTACGCGAGCCATATTTCCTTAACAATCTCAGCCCGATCTGCATCACGATAAGCCTCTCGTAGTTTCTTAAGGGCTCCTGTGACCTGCTTAAGCTCGTGCTCGACATAACTACCCTCGTACTCATACGTCGCATCAATCCTGCGCTGCCTCCACTGTCTTCTCTCCTCCAGTAGCTCCATCCTTCTCTTCTTCATTTCTAGATACGCCTTGTCCAGCTGCATGCGCTGTACCCCGAATGTCTTTTGCATACCTGCTTGCACGCACTCGACATACTTCTGCCACGCGCGATCAGGGGAACGGGCCTGGAAGAGACTCTGCCACTCTTCTTCTGAAATCTTGTTGAGCTCGGTATCAATATGCTGGAAAAGCTCATCCCTCCGATATCCTGTACGCAGGCATCTCATCAGCTCGCCACGGTCAATCTTCTTTTGCGTTTTCATGGGGTAGCCGTGGTTCCTGATGTCTATATCTATGTCCATGCCTACTGGTAGGTGGTCTCTGTACCGTCGATCAGGGATTTGTTGTAAACGCTTTCCCGCATGGTGGAGGCAGCAACAGGTCTTAACGAGTGGTATTGCGGCCACAGGGACCGCTAGGTGGTCGATTCTGGACTGGCCCCCTTTAGGTCCGTAGTACGTGCTCCCTATGTCGTGGAACGTCGTCGCTACTGCAAGTCCATTGTCCATGCAAAACTTCCTAAACGCCGTGCCGTTCGTGTTCTCGCACTGCGGGCGTACTCCACCTATACATACCGTGCGCGTGCGCTGCATGCTCCCATCATCCTCCCTGTGCACCCCCAAGTCGCTGTTGATGTCCCCTCCCACGACTATGGCACTTCTGACCCCCAGCCCATCCAGCTCTTTCTCCATCCACGAGAAAACCTTCTGGGCAACGACTTCTTTTTTTCCGTCGTACATCGGGGCCAGGTACACGCAGAAGATCACGAAGTCCAGGTTTTTTGTCTGTATCCTGATGCCTCCTGCTCTTCCCTGGATGTCGCGCGGGGGGGTGAACACAGTGTGCAACGCCGTGGAGGGGATCTTACTGCTGACAAGGATGGAAACGCCACACGACGCCGTGACCAACTTTTTCATGAGTCCCATCCGTCTGCCGAAGTGAACTCCCCAATGGTACGCATGCATGTGTTCCTGAACAGGGTGGTCCAGCTGTGCGACGCGCTGTGTACCCGAGAGTAGTATAATGTCCCAGCTTTTAAGCTCATGAGAGATATCCTCGTGTCTCTCGAAACTAGCCTCCAGAGGGTTGTAGGTAACGATGCGCATGATGGGCTCTGAGCGTGCTACGCAACACAAGCAAGCGAGAGCAAGAGAAAATACATGCATGCAGAGTGTGCCCCCTGCGGAAGTGACTTGGAAATAGTACAGTAGTGCGCTCTGAAGTGTGAGTCTCCAACTTAAGAGCGGGCCGCACGCACTCGTTCGTGTCTGAAATTGCGGCTGAGGAGGAGGAGGAGGAGGAGGAGGAGGAGGATTCATGCATACATGGACATAGCGCGATGCAGGCCAAAATGCAGGTTTATGGCGAGCAAGGGTGCGAGGTCGAGATAAACGACGGCATGCGCAAACCACCCGTGGTACGTGAATACAAGCATCTGGGAGCTATGATTACCTGTGATTTGTGCTGGGGCCCAGAGCGAGCAAGACGCATCCAGCAGCACAATGAAGGACTTCGACCATTGGACAAGATGGTTTTGAAACCTGGGTATTGTCAAACCTGAGTATTGCAAGCCTGACAAAACAGCAATATTCGTAGATTCGCTGACACATAGCAGGCTGCTCGACCAAGCTGAAGTACGGCCGCCGATTCCCAAGGGAGCCAAGCAGAGTCTCAGATCGGCCTACCTCAATGGCTTCAGGGCGGCGGCGAGGATGAAGGGCAATGCAGCTGACGACCACCACACTGACGAGGAGGTGCTTGCCGCAGTGAACAGGGTCGACATGGATTTCGTCGTAAGGACCAGGCGCCTGCGATTTCTGATGAATCTTCCTTTGCACGCACCAGCCGAGCTCTGTAGATTGATTGATTTGATCATGGGCATACCTATGTCCTGGGGGACCCTAGTCCAGGAAGACCTTTTGTGGCTCAGTCGAGCCCAGCCTGGGACCGGTTGGCCCGACACTGGGGACCCTAGGACATGGTGCCAGGCGGTCCGAGCAAAACCCCAGAGTTTTAAGTCCCTTTGAAAAATCACCTGGGACCGATTTAAGTCGTGACAGGTTGACCTCTGTACGTAGATTAGCAGTTTGGCAGCGGACAGTGAACAGATATACACCTCTTGTCCAGGACCCACCGGTGGCACGTTATATTTGCTGTGAATGCGGACATCTCAGCACGTCCGTCCAGGGCTGGAAGCATCATCGTTCAGCTGCACACATGTCAGACATTCCTGCCAAGTTTTGTGTTGCAACATCCAGCAAGTGTGAAGCATGCATGCAACAGTTTAGCACACGTGCTTGTTTGATTTATCTTCTGAAGTACAGAAGGCCCTCGTGTCTCATGACCCTCAGGCAGGAAGTGACGCCCCTCTCAGTAGAGGAAGAGACGGCACTGACGGCTCAGGACACCATTGTCAAGAGGGATCTCCGCAAGCGTGGCTATACCGAATCAAAGGCATTGATCCCTGCCTGTACTCAGACCGCCTGGGTGGAAGCCTGGGCCGGCAAAAGACATCGGGATTTGCACACCCGCTGTGGTTTTTGTTCCCCCAGAGGACAGCCCACAACGGCCTCAATCGAGACATGGGGACCATGATTGTCTGGCAGTAGTTCATTTCACTCAAAATAGTGACAGCACAGCTTTTCGTGCTAAGTTTGATGCGCTCTCTGGTCATCAATCTCCTGTAGTCCTGACAGTTAACATAGCGCAGTGTGACCCCTCTTTTTGGCACCATCTGATTGAGACAGGAACTGTGGTAGGCGCGTTCTTTGAATTTTCGGCAGACACTTGGAATGCGCATGACTCGGTGAGATCAGACGGCCACCCGCGGGGCCAGCCTTCGGTGTCAGCAGCATCCCGAGCACGCCTAGGTAGGACCAAAAGGGAGGCGAGGACCTTCCTTGAACTTCTGGCACATACAGCAAGCTCAGCCATCCCGAACTTCACATAATGGAAAGGGCTGAGTTGGCCAATTTCAGAGTCAATCGACATTCGCACTAGAATCGGAGCTACGCCTTCAGGGACAAAGCTAGTAGTCCACTGTGGCGGAGACTCAGCGGAGTTTGTAGAGGGGTGGGAGAGAGCTGGAGCTAGATTGGCACCCAGCCTGAGCGGCTGGAAGAGTTCGGCCGTCGCTCCCACGCACCTCTCACACTTCCTTTTCGTGCACGACGGGGTGTTGGTGGTGGCTAGCAGGATTCAACAGGCGGAGGAGGAGGTCGGCGCTGCATGTCTTAAGTGTGCCTTTCTGTCCCGTCCCGCTGCCTGTTAGTGTGGGATGGGGGGATGTGTGTGTGTGTGTGGTGGTGGGGGGGGGCGTGGATGTGTGTGGGGGGACTTCTTCTGCCGCTCCTGTGCGCTCGGCACCGACACCGCGCGCCAGCGGCCCCGTTCAGGACGTAGCAGCAGCAGTGGCATCAGGACACCGCGAGCCTGCTCGATGGCATGGAGGAAGAAGGAGCAGGAGGAGGAGGAGGAGGAGGAGGAGGAGGAGGAGGAGGAGGTGGGCGCGCGGGACGGGGGCGCGGGGCAGCGGGCGTCGCAGGTGAGCAGCTTCTCCGCCACGGAGACCACGTAGGTCTCCGACAGCTGCCCGCCCCGGGCAGCCCCCCCTCCCTCGGAGGGCGGCCGGCCGAGACGACGACGGCCCTCCCTGGGAGGAGGAGGAGGAGGCGGAGGAGGAGGAGGAGGAGGAGGAGGA